ACTTTGTTTCTGGCGGAGGGGGCAGTTAAAGAATGAGATGACATTTTAATAGAGTATCATAATTATGGTTTTAAATTTCAGTCTTTGGTACCAGTAATTTATTGCTGATCATTTTCTGTTGACAGAAATCAAGTAATGTATACATAACCCAACCAACTACAACTGACTAGAGTGTGTTAGAGGGAGATTCCTTAGGGTAATACTTTGATTTCTTTTCCGATGTGGGCGTGGTTGAAAGAAAATCTTTGTTCCAAGAGCACTGTGTTTGTCTTTTGCTAAACAGTTGTACAATTTACCCATTCCTTATTCATTCTTAGATTTATCTGCTAGACTCACTATGCATCAGAAAGGGGAAAGTGTCCTGCACAGCATGACAGGTGACTCCGTTTCGTGGATAACTTTGCATAGGGCTGTTTGTTTACGTGTATCTGAGACGAGTAAGGAAAGAAAAGTGGCAGAGGAATTTAAATAAGAATTCTCGAAAGGGTTGTTTGGCTTTGTTTCTTCATATACTAGGGCAAAATATGACAGCTGTTGAACAATTTAATATTTTGTAGCTGTATCAGAAGGAAGTTAATTTAATGAGGGAGTTACAGGATTGTAGAATTTTAGAACTAGAAAGCTCTTCCAAATTCATAATTTATATATATATATGTATATATATCTTTCATTTTAAGTTGACCGCACTCTATCTTGAGTGAAAAATAAGTGTTTCTCCAGTTACATAAATATGTCTACTTAGACTCCAAGAAGAGACTCAGAGTGTCTGCCTTCAGTGAAACCTTGACCTAGACGGACTGTTGATCCTCCCAGGCTTCACCTTTCCCCTGGAACTTCACTCTCACCAAGAATGATTTGTTCACCTTCACAGGAGTCCTGAGGGTCTCTTGGGCTTTCTCTGGTTTTTGTAAATACTAAAGGCAACTCCCCTGGGGATATCTAATTGTAAGGTTGGAAATCTGCCTCTGTCCAAACAATGCCAAAATTCTGGTCCAAATGGGTGGTTCTGTTCATAAGCAACAGAGTTCTCATAATTTATGTCCTGGCATCACTGAGCATTGTCATTGTAGACCAGATCCCAACTGGGCCTCTGGCCTCTTAATGTGGAAAGAAGTGAATGAGAAGCAGGGGTTCTAGGCTCACACAACTGGGAGTTGGCTTTATTTCTTAAGTGGGTAGAAAATGGAAAGTTGGTATGCATAAAAGGTGTGTCAAAAATGTTAAATAGTCACAAAGGGAAATGCACTGTTCCAAAATAATAACAAGCTGACTTAAACAGAATAGAAGAATTCTGGCTTATATATGGATGAATTTTATAGCTCTCAATGAAACAGAAGTCTCATATTTTACTTGATCAAAGGCCCCCATTTTCATCCCTAATATTGTAGATAAGTTAAACCTCTAATAATAACAATAATGTTGTTATTATTATTATTATTATTATTATTATTATTATTATTATTAGTGCTTATTACACTTAGAGTTAAAAGAATGGATTATAGCCCTGGCAGGTGTGGCTCAGTGGATTGAGCACTGACCTGTGAGTGGAAAAGTCACTGGTTCGATTCCCAGTCAGGGCACATGCCTGGGTTGTGGGCCAGGTCCCCAGTTGGGGGCGTGTAAGAGGCAACCAGTCTATGTATCTCTCACACATCAATATTTCTCTCAGTCTCTTTCTCCCTCCCTTTTTGTCTCTCTAAAAATAAATAAATAAAATCTTTTTTTAAGAAAAAGAACGGGTTATAGTGTCACATCCATCACTTTCCAGTTCTTGGAGATACTGGACTAGTCATGTGTGTGTCTGAACCTCAGTTTTTCCATCCCTAAGTTGGGAGGATATTAGCAGGTAGTAGTGCTACTAATAGGGTTATGTGAGAAGCAAAAGAGATATGTTATATAAAACACCTTTGTAAATTTTAGTGGTTTATTGGTAGTACAAGAAATCACAACAGCATTTGTTCTGCTTCCTAAGCAGGAAAGCAGTCCCTCAGTCCCTCATATTTTTAGTTGAGGGCTTTTTTTCACTTGCTGATTTTTTGTGATACCTGCAACAATTCTGGGGAAGTGGCAGAAAGAAGGGAGTTCACTCCTGTGTTCTGTTCTAGGCCTTGTATAATGCACTATGGGCAGGAGCCTGCATCTGAAAACTGAACTCCTGTAGGATCAAAATGCAAACTAAATGAAATTACTGTAAGTCTGTGCAAAAAGCTAAATCCAGAATCAGAATTTCCTGGACCCCAACCTTAAAGATTCTGAGTCAGTGATTTCTCATGGGCCCTGGAACCTGTCTTTTTATAGGTACCCTGTGTGAATCCAATGCAGGTAGTCCCAGGGTCACTCAGAGACATCGTCTCCAGAATGAATGGACATCATAGGACATGTTTTTGTGACTTGGGGACAGAGGGAACTTGCTAGTTTTCTTCTAAAGGAAAGAGAAGGATTCATGTCACAGCTCGTGTTTTTAGGAGCTGTGTGAAGAAAGAAGATTAATGGTTTCAAGCTAGAATCATGTGGAGAGGAAAAACAGAAAGAAAGAAGGGTGGAAAGAAGGGAGGGAGGAAGGAAGGGAAGAAAAGAAAGAAGCCATTTCTAAGCACAGAAGATAACCAGAAGCTAATTCCATCCAGAGCAAAGAATTAGGAAGATGTTAGAGTTGGTGTTGTCATGAAAAATGGTCAGAGAAAAACAGAGAAGGAGAGTGAAGGGATAGGAAGGAAGTGAAATGGTTCCTAGAGTCCAGGTGACATCTGCTATAAAACTAACTCTGAGGCATCTGTTCTTTCTCCCTCATTCAACATGAAAAGCTCAAACTTTCTCTACTTCATTTCAAGAACCCTTGGAGAAACTAGGGAGCTTTCACCCCATCGCAGAACGTCCACAGCACAACCAAGATAGAATCTGGGAATCAACAGGTATTTGCACAGTATTTCCTATGTACAGGAGATGGTACTAGCCACTGAGCATGCTCAAATAAGTCCTGGGGGTCCATGGTTACAACGCTCTCACCTTGAACCGTCTTGGGTAAACTTGATCATCTTGGACAAACAGAGTGTAATAATATAAATTGACACATTGAGGTCTGCTTCTGCAGAGAGTTCTTAGATACTCCAGAATTCTGATGATGTTTGCTGAATGTTTTCACTAATTTTTTTGTGTGTGTAATTTAACTGTATAGAAAGCACAGATTTGAACCCAAAGTGTGAACTCATTTTTTGATCTGCTGTAAAAATCTCAAATTGGTGTGTCTTGGGACATACATCAGCATCTTAAAACTTCTTTTCATTTGGAGACTTGCCTTCAATGTAAACATATTTCCTTTTAATTAAGTGTGCCAGCTGACAAAGTAGCTACCCACAAACCAGGCAGGAGTCAAAAAAAAAGTAAACTGTTAAAAGATGTCATCTTGAAAGCAGCTGAACATCTCCATTCTTGAAGAAGCCTCCAGCCTAAGGAACTATGAGAACATAATTAGAGATACATCTGGGCATTAGCCTCCTATCTGAAAAGGTCACACACACACCTTCCATTGGTACTGGTGATGCTCCATCATTATGTTCTGTCCTCACTCAGTCAGCTTCCACTGGTTACCAGATGGCCACGATAATGTTGGTATCCTTAACAACTGTCTCATGCAATTCCCTGTAGCATGGTAAGGGCTTGAAATAGTGAGCATTTTCCCCTTTGGATAAGCAAGTGACATATCTGGGAATTACTCACAAATGCCCTGATGGTATGGTTATAGAGAATGATGGCAAAGTGGTCCATGGAGCCTAAATTCAGCTTGATGTTGTGCCAGTGATAGGCTACCAAAGAGGGGTGTTTGCCATATCTCAAGCTTAAGATGAAGGAAAGATTCATCCATGCAGAATATGGTTTTTATAAATAAGCACTGGATATAATGAGGTGTAAATAAGCATTAAGATCATTGCACGAGAGAGCTTTCTTAAAGTTGCTGAACTGTTCTCCTGAGTTAAGTTGGTTCTCATGAAGCTCTTTCAAAAGGTTGCTTTGGGGAGTCCTCTCAGCATGGTTCTCTGAGATGTGCCAAACTACCAGATGGATTTGAGAAACATCAGAAGATAGTGGGTATGGGGTAGAGGGGAGGACAGAGGAGGTGGATGTATCAATCAAGTAGGGAATAGATCACACTGTGAAAAACCCCAAGAAAGGTTTCTTTTCTGCTTATATATCCATTTAGGATCAATCAGGGACTTGGCTCCATGTTACTCTCACTCTAAGACCCCGACTGGCAGAGTTGGCACTATCTGAAACATTACAGATGTCCAGAGCAAGGGGAAGGAGTGAGTGTGGTCAAACACTAGCTCTTAAAGGAGCCACTCACTTCTGTCTTATTTCATAGGCCAAAACAAGTCACATGACCACTTGTCTCCAGTGGACCTGGAAGCACAGTCTTTCCACAGGACCATAAAGAGAACCAGAAATATTTGTTGAATGGCACTAACAGCCACCAGAGTGGACAATGATACTCTTTAGGCTCATGGACAGCTCTTGGGAGGTAGATTACCTTTGTCCTCAAGCAATGTAAAATTGTATAACCTCCCTCCCCTCAAAAAGAAAAGGAGCCATACCAGAGTGCAGAGATATAAGCATAAAGAAGCTCAACAAAATTCTGATTTTTCCTACAATGATGACTTTAATGCTTAAAATATATATCTGACTCTTTCAAAATAGTTTTCTTTGGTTATACTGCTTGCTGATGACCCCAAAATTGCTTAATCTGTCTATAGGGTTTTCCCTCTCTACTTTTTCATTTCTGTACAGGTAGCCTCAGGCTTTTCTGTGCAGCTGGACTGGTAAGGTGGGGCTGGAGGGTGAGTGCATTGCCAGCCTGTAATGAACATAAACTGGTTATAAGAGTCTTGTATTAAAGACTATATTTTCAGTACAAGACCAGAAGGGATTATTGAAGATATGCCATGGCCATGACAGTTCTTTGTTGGAGGGAAGAGGGTAATGGAGGTGTTTTCTTGTTTGTCTAGGAGAGGACGAGGAAGAAACGAACGTGATAGTTCTCAGCTACCCCCAGTACTGCCGGTACCGCTCGATGCTGAAACGCATCCAGGATAAGCCATCTTCCATTCTAACGGACCAGTTTGCATTAGCCCTGGGGGGCATTGCAGTGGTCAGCAAGAACCCTCAGATCCTGTACTGTCGGGACACCTTTGACCACCCAACACTCATAGAAAATGAGAGTATATGTGATGAGTTTGGTGAGTCTTTTTTTATTATTATTCCAATGTGAAACTTGTGCGTGCATGCCTACTTGTTTTCAGTTCTTATGAAGAGCAGTGATGGGGAACAGGGCTGATTTTCACAAGCCTAATGTGCCCCCCGCCGCCTGTCTCCCAAATTATTGCGGCATAAGGCATCAATGCCTCCTTGGCAGCCTCTGTTTACCAGGGTAGAAGATTATCATTTAGAACTTGTTCAATGTAGAGTCTGAAGTTGCTTGGTTGACCTTGAAGTTGGACTTTAGGACAGGAAGCTTTCATGTTCTTTCTCAAAAGGCTCTGACTATTCAGATTCTGATTTGCTATTTATCTGATCACTCACTTTTCAGTGTTATAAGGAACTGCAAAAATGCGCCAGTTGCAACCATTTCAGTACTATATGGTGAATAGACAGATAGATAGATCTTTATATATACATATATCTTTATACACTGTGCCCACCAAAGATGGATATATGTGCACATACTTTTATCTGCACCTCTGCCTAGCTGATCAGTCATTTGTCTCTGAAGACAGAAGGGAAGGAGGAAAGATATATCACCAGTGTGGAAGGCCTTGCATGATGCAGTGCGTGACTGGAGGCAAGCCAAGATCACATCTCTCACATTTTTACTCTGTTGAAGGGATTGGATCCTATCAGTGGTTCTCAGTGGCCAGAGACATCAGAATACTTTGGGGGTGCTTTTTCAAACTACGCATGTTCCTGGGAATTTTCAGACTTACAGAGACGTGAACAACCCCCACCCTCACCTTCTCCCTTCTCTGGGAACCACCACTGTTGACGACCAGTCTAATGACTGGCCCATGCTGAATTCCTCAGGGTACCCAGATTAAGAAGAGGTTGAGATTCTGGCCCACAGAGAGCACATGGTCCCTTGTGCTGGTATATTCCTTGACTCTATTGGCCAATATTTTCTCAAGGATCCCTAGTTTGCAGATTATTCAGGTTCAGATTACTCCGTTTAACCATTACAGGCCTCAGCATGGTTTTGGAAGTCCACCATGGCATCTCCAGTTTGACGATTCCTGACTCCAGTGGCCCTGTAGCTGCTGTGGGAGGGATATTGTGAGTAGGTGTGTAGGCAGGGGAGGGGTGAGGATGAGGGGATGGGAAATGGTGATCCAAGGAGGAAGGGAATAAAGAGAGGAAGGGGACCCGAGTTCATTGCACATGACATTGTTTTTACAAACTGTTTTTTCAGATGCTTTTCATGGCTCTGCTTGTCAAATGACTGTCAGTCTGTAAGAGTAATAGTACTTACACAAATTATTTTTTCCTTCTCCCAAGAATTTGTTGTCATATTTTTAATATTCAAAAAAACCTTTATATTCAACTAGATGGATGTATCCAATGTATTTTTTTAAAACACTATCTCTTTTCAGATCAGCATTTACAAATCTTCCCTTTTCAATAATTTAATTTCGAGTTTTTCTTCTGTATGCCCACTCCCGTCCCCCCATCCTGCTTGGCACTAAAAAGGCCCCTAAATTCCTAACACAGAATAAAACTCAAAGAATGCTTTCCCTCCTTTAAGAGTATTCAAAATTAGAGTTTCACAGTATAATATAATGAGAAAATGTTTCAACCTTTTGGGCTAATTTAGGAGTTATTAGTCATTGAGTTCCAAAACTGTTGCATTTAGAATTGGTAATGGAGAGAAGTTCCAGTTTAACAACGATCACAATGGTTAGGTTACTAAATTAGTTTTAAATGTTCTCACAAACACAAGCATCTGACTTTTGAATGTTTTCCTGAACTTTCTTCTGGTGTAGCTAATTTTAATGCTGTTTTTCTTCTCCCGCCTCTTAAAGTGAAAGCTTTCTTGTGGAATAAAGGTACCTTTAAAGAGCTTCTAGATGGCTACTTTAATAATTAAAATATTAGAATGTTTTAGTTATATTTGTACTTTGAATAGTCTGTATTTCGTAGAATATTTTCATTTTAGTAAGTAACCCCTCCCCCCGAAAAAAACCTTATTTTGGCTTAATTTGAACACCTTCCCCAACCACCCTCCCCTACCTCCCACTTTTGGTCATACTCTCAGTTTCCAGAAAATACCCACTTAAACCTCCAAGTGGTTGTATTAGACAGAAATCAGAATGAGTTAAAGGGTTTGTTAAAACATGGGGTTGGGTTTCTCCAACCAACTAACAGTTGGTGGAAGAACATAAATTTAATTAGTGACTAGCATTAAACAAATGTTCCGAATATTAAACACTGCCAGGTGACTGAAACACTTCTGTCAGATTACCGCGAGTGCCAAGGGGCCCGCAGACGAATTTCTACACAGTGTATATTCTGTACCACACGTTCGGTGACTTCAGTAATTGGTCCAATGTAATTTAGGTAACAGTATGCCTAGGCTGTAAAAATCAAATTTTATTAGCCATATCACCAGGTGAATGAATGGTGGAGCTGATGGCAAAGAGTTTATAGCATTTAGCAGCTACACCTTTGACACGTGAAATTCATAAATTGTCATAAAATGCCTCCAAGGCCCTTCTCAAAAGGATAGTGTCTACTTTCCTATGATTAAATAATGTTTATTTTATTAACTAATATTTTTTTGCTTTCTTCTATTAAACGGAATTATGGAGTAGGGCTGGGAGGGGGGCGTCCAAAGGACAAATAAAACACAGTCCCTTCTTGTTTTGAGGATTTAAAATCTAATTGGGGAAGACAGGATTAACGCACCTGAAAGGTTAACTAATGTTACAGGAAAGTCAGTGATTAAGTATTTGGTGAGTGTAGCAGAAAGCAAGTGCAGTAGGAATTTCGCACTGGGGTAGGGGTGGGAGAAGTAAAGCGACTGGAGATGTGACCATGGGGAAGGTCAGGAAAAGCCTTGTGGAAAAGGCAAAACTGGATCTGGTTTTGGAGGATGGGGCGAGAGGCTATTAGAAAACTTTTAGGATTGACTCTCCATCTTAGAAATGGCTGCCTCCACCCTGGATCAACTACTTGCCTCTCTTAGTTTTCTTCGTCCTTAGTCATCGCCCTTAGTGGGTTTTGCCCTCAAGATGAGTTTTAAAAATGGTCTGATGCCCTCTCTGCCAGGGAGGCCTGAATGTGAGTCGGTGGACCAGGGCTGGGATGAACCTAGGCAGTGGCTTTGGAACTGGAAGTGGGTGTTCCTTCGGGGGCAGGGATGCCCCACGTTTTCTCCACGTGCTCTATGCCTTGCTGCCCTTCCCCGGGGCTCCTCTCTGAAAACGGGCTTTGCTCTGTGTGGTAGCTTTGCCCCACTGCCCAGGCACTACCCCCTCCCCATTGTTTCAGTGTTGTCCACTGAATAAACAAGTTTAATTGCACAATAAAAGTAAGGCATTGAAACCTACCAAGAGTGCCTATAAATAAATTCTCCATGGAATTTTATGAAGCTGTTAAATGAAAAGTTTGATTGGAAACTATTAAAGAAAAATAATATAGATGAAATTTCATCATTTAGTCCCACATTACAGTAGTGTCATTTTGATTTTTATTTACATTGAGGTAGTCAGAATAGAGTAAATATATCCTGATTTTAATTAACTATCCTTTTTACTTGGGAAAGGTTATTTTAGGCTTGAAGGGTTTTGATAGCATACCATCTGCTTTCTTCACTGTGTTTTATTCAAGTCCTTTCCTTGCTTACAGCACTGAGCAGTGTCTAAACCTATGACATAAGCATAAATTGAATCATATTAACGGTAGGTGATTGAAAAGCTTCAGCCTCCACATCCTGCCCGCATTCTTCCATCTTGTCAGTCACGATGCTCTTAAAGGCGATGTGCTCTTTTCTTAGCACAAGAGATCTGACTATTTTTAAAGCTAAAGCAACTGGACTCCCTATTAATGCATTATGAAAACTGGTTGTAGTGCACATGCAATTAGGAAATGAGATTAAAATAACATGCGGGGAAAGTGACATTATGAATGACATTTTTTCTCATAAAAACCTTTACCCTGTGGATAATTCCTGCCCCCACCACCCTGTTAGAATCTCCTAACATAAAGCATTCCCCAGCAGCCCCCCTTGGTTTTACCTTTTTATAATTCAATTTCTCTTTTGTAAAACACATATTGTCATTTATGTTATGTTATTGTCTCTGCTGTAGAGAAAACACACACATGCAAACATTTTGTGTATTTTTCCTGTTCAAACAATAAAATGTCCACCAGTTTGTAATGCACAGTGTTTACATTAACGTCACTCAGATTGATTTCACATGTGGGAAGTGTTGACAGCTAAATCCAAACAAAGGCACACGCAGTACAGTAGGTAAATGGATAACTTTAAGGGACTGGCTTCCATCAGAGAGATTAAGGTGAACTCAATATACATAAATGAGATGGAATCAGTCCTTAGAAGTGGGTGGGACTAAATGAATTAAGATATGCTTCATTTAAAAAAAAATACAGTTTATTTCAGTCTGAGTTTTGAATGACAAAAAGATATAAGTTGTGCTTCTAAGTTTTTTGGAGTTCAGTGTGTGTGTGTATTTCTTGATTAAGAAATGAGATGGAGTTAAAGAAAGGACATGGTAATTAACCTGAAAAGTATGATGATGCATTGGACCGCCATCTTGGTGTTTGGTCCACGTGTAGAACACCATGAAGTCTGACCTTCAGGGAGAAGAAGTTGGCTACCTCAATATTGAAACACATACTCTGCTAATGGTCAGAGGGGACAGAATGGTAGAGTAAAAAGAGTGCTAAGCTTTCAGAAATAGCCCAGGTTAGTTAAGGCTCATCTGTCCAATTTGCTATTCCTCTGAGTGACATAGACCATTCACTTATCTATCTTAAAATTGAGTAGTAAAAGCCCACTTACCAGGCTCAGAATGAGTCTCTATTTACTTGATTTTTTAAAAAAAACACAAAACTCCCCTAGATAAATGAAGATTCTCTGTCGATCCTATACAATGTTAGACCTTAGACAACTTGTAGTCATCTGAACCAATCTTGCTCATTGAAAAAGAAAGGAACCATTACACTA